TCTGTTGTGTCGCTGAAAACCCGAGGCTGTGCGCTGCGGATCCGCTGTTCTACGATCACCAAAAGCGGCCACGAGCGTGAGCCTTCAAACCGAATTTCATAGAGTTTTCTGCGTTGTTCGCCCGCCCTTTGAACGTCAGTAGAAAACGAACCCGCAGTCACGTGTAGATGACCTGTCTCCAGATGTGTGTAACGTATGAATAGCCACATCGCTGCCTGGACGCAGGGACTCTTGAACAAACATACGGAGGATTGAGTACACTTTGATCGGTATGATTTCAAGAGCTGAGCTGAGAACCAACAATCCGGGTGCCCCCCCCTTTTTTCCCAAAATCCTCGAATAGACCGGTCACTTTTTTGCCGCCAAAATCGGCCCGATTGGCACCCCTAACTGTTAGGGGAAAGGAGCTATTCAAGATGGATTTGGTTATCTTCCCAGGATTACACTCAGGAGAGAAGAAAGAGGAACTCTGCACCAAGTCCATTCTTTTAGACGTAACAATCGTCAACCCATCCGCGGGTCGAAGCATCGACAAGTCGATNGGTCGAAGCATCGACAAGTCGATCCTTAAGCCAGGATCAGCCCTCGAAGATCGAGCTGCAAGTAAGGCAAATCACTATGCGGGAACTTTCAACCCGTCTAGATCTACCCTCCTTACTGCTGCTTTTTCAACGAATGGTGGTCTTGGCAAAGGCACCAATCGACTCATCGTTGCTATCGCCAACCACTTGGCGCACGAAGCTTTTTGTCGGGAGAATTTTGAAGACGAACGAGCCTTAGTTCGCCTGGAAGCGTTTCATACTAACAGGATTCGGAGACGGTTTACCTTCGAGCTAGCTCGTTTTCTGTCGATGCGAACTCGCGATGTGTTCAAACGTCATGGGCTACTGATCGACCAACTTCCACCAGGGCCGATCGGTTGGGATCTCTGCGACAACGATAGTAGTGAGGGCAATTCTTTTGGGAGTGACGAAGNCCTTGGTAGACGGGTGCAGTTTTCTTCTGTTGCTGCTGTTTCTGTTTTTAATCCGAAGGATGGTTTAGCCTCCCCCATGCTGCCCCCTCACGGGGTCCCAGTTCATGGTAGATAGAAGTGTTTTGTGTTTTCAACCGCACTAAGACTGACGTCTTTTCATTGGTCAGCCGGCAACGGTGTAACGACTACGGCATGCACAACTATGAGTACGCCCCCCCCCCATCCTCAAGGTGTGGATGATCGGGTATCGGGCACACATCGTCCAAATTAATTGCCGATGCTGTTGCCGATGGGGCGAGCCATGGAGTAATTACTGTGTGTTGAGTTTCTCTCTCTCATTTGGCCATCTCTCCCCGGCCGCAAACACTAAATACCCACAGCTGCGAATTTCTGTGCTCCTATTGAGAAGACAACGCATGGGAGAGTACGCCCCCCCTCCGTCCCGGCTTTGCCCCCCTCGGTGTTTGCCATCGGGATTGGGTTTTCGTCGCTTGCCAACGACGTTGTAAATCAAGCCAATTCACTTCGTGAACTCGGCAACCAGGCTACCGTTTTTTTCTTTTTACCTCCGTTTTTTTTTTTTGGCGGTAACCATAATGGTGGTCGAGTGGATCATGTAGTGCGGGGTGGAGAATCCTCACTCCGCGNGAAGTGAAAGCACCAGAAAGTAAATGAAGTCGTACGCAGCTGTCATCCGTACGCAAGGAACTAAGCACAAGATGCCGAACACCCTTAGCAGGATGCAGCGCACCCTTCATGCGACTCGCCGAATATCTCACGGCGCTTCGCGCTTGGTGATGTGAGAGCTTGGTCCGGTGAGAACCTGGCGTGCTCCGTCCCGGCTTTGTAGGGATGCGAGGTCAATGGTCTAACGACTACGGCATGCACGACTATGAGTACACCCCCCCCCCCCCGCCTCGCCATTTACCTAACTTCACGCCCCGTTCTTTGCTTGTGTTTTTTTGTCAGCACGGCTCACGTGGTAACGACGTCGGTGGCTACCGCCGCCGCCGCCGCCGCCGCGGGGTCTACGCTACGCGTGGAGGTCGAGACGGAGGATGGGAAGTCCAGGTGGTGCGGGGAGTTCCCCGCAAGATGTGAGCGTGTCTCTAGAAAACACCTACCAGTCACTACAGCAGTAGCAGTTGTGTTGTTCTTTGTACTCCCCCGGTTGATTGTCGAAGAGGGCGGGGGTGCTTGCTCTCTAGTCAACCTCCCCAGGCACGTACTTCATATTTATATTTACAGTTCACGTGCAGCCCCACTGCGTTTCGGGCCAGTAGCAAGCCTGGGCGGACGTAGTTCCCGACGGCAGTGCAAGAAAGACTCGTATCTCTCGCCTGACCGCACCCACGGTACAGGCATCGACACCGACTACAACTGGCTGTTGCGAGAGACGACCGTTCGCGGGTTTCTTCGGAGGCCAGAAGCATTGAACGGCCTTCGCGAGGACATTAAAGCGTTGCTCATGTTGAGGTTGCGGGGGGGGGTCCACAACCCTAACGCGTACCCCCTACTAAAACTAAGATGAAGTATCCTCGAGAAGGCTTGCTACTGGAAGCCTTTGATGGGCGACGTTCTCGCCATTCCCGGTGTAACACCTTTATCTATATCCCGGTCGTCCTTATTCCGATGTGATGGGCCCCTGCCCCCCCGCCTCCCCTCACCCGATAGGTAGATAGGCTAATAGGGAAAGCTTTTTTGAGACACCCTTGGCAAAAAGTAGGAAGGAACGATTGGCCATCGGTGGTCGGTCTTGTGGGAACAATGCTCCGTCCCCTCATGGACGCGTGGTCATCAGTGGTCCACCCGCTAAGGCATGCACAAGAGTGAGTGCGCCCTATCCCCCCCCGGTTTGGTTCGCCCAGACGTGGAAGGCATCACGCAGAAAACAGGGAGCGCGAAGAAGTTTCCGGTGTTCGTGAAGATGTTGCTCGACGCCCTGGGTCACGACAGCAGCAGCAGCAGCGGCAGCGTTTTCGTCGACCTTCTCACCTACGCGGACCTGGTGAGTGCTGTCGCCGTCCTCGTTCTTGCCGTTGTCGTCGTCGTCGTTGTTGTTGTTGTTGGTAGTGTTGGTGTTGGTGTTGTTGTTCTTGATGTCGTCGACGTCGTCGTCGTTGTTGTTGCTCTCGTCGTCGTCGTCGTCGTCGTCGTTGTCGTCCTCGTTGTTGTTGTTGTTGTTGTTGTTGTTGTTGTTGTTGTTGTTGTTGTTGTTGTTGTTGTTGTTGTTGGTGTTGTTGTTGTTGCTGCTGCTGCCGCTGCTGCTGCTGCTGCTGCTGCTGTTGTTGTAACGTTTCATTTTTCAGATACACTTTCCCCCATGACCGTAGGCTGGCGTGCAGGCACCCCGTACATGGACGTCGTTTTAGGACATTCCTGTCGCTTCTCCCCCCGTGTCCGCTCCACCGCTGCTTCCGCTGGTCTCCCCTTCCACAATGGCAGGAGCTGCTGAAGGCAAGGCGGGTCGGAAGCAGTAACAACAATCAGCAGCAGGCGGCAGGGGTGAGCGGAAGCGAGGGGGGCGCTAACAGGGCAACTGCCACAACCGGTACTACCAACGGCGGCGGCGGCGGCGGCGGCAGCAGTGTTCACAATAAGCGGTGCGTGGAGGAGGTCTTCGACCAATCATCCCGATCTGTTGCATGTACTTTCTATCTGCGAAATTTTGTGATAACAATGACTGGTATTGTCTCGTGGCATTCCCAGCAACCACGAATAGGTTTTAGAGGTGGTGGGGTAGCTCTTTGGGGTAGATAGTCGTTGGACTCTGGCCATGAAAGGGGTCCGTGTTAGGGCGCTAGAAGTTTCTGAGCAGAGACCGGAACGCTCTTAAATTTGAAGCAACAAAAACAACAACGACAACAGCAAAAACGACGACGTCGACGATCACGACGACAACACACATGGTTTCTGGCGGATGCCCTTCAACGTGTTCTTGGTCTTCCTGAAAGACACAAGTGCACTTCCGGATGGTTGTTTCAATTTTCTCCACCCTTTTCCGCCCTGCCCTTCGCCCCGATTCTGCTCAACCCTGCTCCACTCGTCTCTGCTCTGCTCTGCTCTGCTTTGCTCTGCCCTGCTCTGCTCTGCTCCGCTCTGCTTTGTTTCAATCTGCCCCACTCTGCTCCGCTCTGCTCTGCTATTCTCTCGAAAGATACCTGATCCTGACGTACGCAGCGGAGTACGACCGCGTCCACTACCCCCTACCCCTGGCCTTCGTAGACTCGCCCCAGAGACAGCAGCTTGAGAGGACCATCGATAGGCTGAGGGAGGTGTGTTTGCGTATGGAAAGTCCGGCAACAACAACTATGTATCCCGCCGTGGGCATGCCGTCGGCGGCATGACACAAGATACCACCCCCCCTGGACCGATATTGATTTCTCGACTACTCTACGATGAAGTTGATGCATAGATGAAACAATACGTATTCGGGAAGCTCTCGATCGACGAAACGGCTACAGTACCACCAATTTCGGCGCTGCCATTTTTTTCTATCGTGGAGAAATTGGGCTATCTTTTGCCACCTATGTCTCTGCTCAAACAGCTCGACGCACGCCACGTGTTGCGGTCGATTGATTCTTTTGGACTACAGCCTCTGATGAGCCTCGTTGGTATGTAGAAGTACATGTGTGTGTGTCGTGCGATTGTGTTGCGGGAATCAAGCCTTGTCGACAGCCTATCGACAGCAGGCAACGAGGACAGAGTGAAAAGGGCACCTCACCGATGCCGGGTGTTTCCTCCCTAGTCGACTGATTGGCCGGAGCCCCCTACCTGTGTGCCAAAACGGATACTGCCGTTGATGACCGAGCTTGTTGGAGGCCGCTATGTGCCGTATCGCTTCTTGTCGGTCACCTTCGAAAGTTCATTACGAGTACGTGACACTGCCTATTATGCTTGCGTTGCCACGCTGCCCACCCACCAAAAGGAATGCCGGCTGTGTGTGAACTCCCGTGCAGCACCCTGAAAAACCGGGGGAGATTGACAATGCAAAAGCTTCAAAGTTTCGCTAAAGAGCAAGGGCACCGATACGAATTTCGCAAGGGCATTGGTATGATTTTGGGGCGGGGGGCGGGGCTAGGCCATGCGATAGAAGCTGCCGGAGCTTCGCTGGAGAGAAGCTCCGTTCGCGACCAAGTTGTGGTGCCGCAGACACGTCGTTGTGGTGCTGCAGCAGCGGTAGTATGACCCACGAGAGACGACTACAGAGACGGGGAATGGGTTACATACCCTTCTGCGTGTGTGTACAGACTGGTGCTGTGTTGACGGAAGTACAGTACTGCTGTTTGCACTCCGTTTCGGCACGTGCCCCCCCCCCCTCCTGTGCGGGATAAAAAACGCCCTTCCAAGGGACGTAGACCACACCCTAGTTTTTCACCGCACGCGCCTGCCCGGGCTTTCAGCAGATGAACTCGCCTTCTTCAAACCGAGAAGTATTATGTTGGTTGTGCCATATTTTCCCCGCATCATGTTTTGGTTCTACGGAACACAACCGCGGTCCGTTGAGTTATTCTCGCCTTTGTCCCCCCTGCTCTTGTTTTTTTGCTCGTGCAGGAGCTGTCGAGGCGTTCTTTGGAGACGGCGACGCCTGCGAGAAATGGGAGCAAGAACGATCGAGCGGCAGAGGCGCAATTGATGGCCGTGAGTGTACCCCTCGATACCCCCCCCCCCCCCCCCCCCCCCCCCCNTATCGTTAGGATAGACAGACTAGGGAAGACATTTTTGAGCCACCTTTGGCAAAGTAGAAAGGAACGATTGGCCATCGGTGATCGGTCCTGTGGGAACAATGCTCCGTCCTCTCGAGGACGCGTGGTCAATGGTCTAACCGCTAAGGCATGCAAAACATAAGAGTACGCCCCCCCCCCCCATCGCATGCGGCGCCCCCGAAGAACAGCCGAGAAGGAGAGGCTTTGTAGGGATGCGTGGTCAACGGTCTACCCGCTACGTAGGGCATGCAAAACACGAGTACCCCTCCACCTAACGCAGGAAAACACGGAACTCCGACGACAAGTGGAAGCTCTCGCAGGCCAGCTCGAGGAGGCGTTGTCGTTGGCCAGGCGGGGCGGAGGAGGGGAGAGCGAGGAAGGACTTCTCGGCGGGGGGGGATCGGGGGGGCCGAAGCTCAGAAAGCTGCGACGGGCGTACGAGGAGTTGCAGGCGAGGAGGAGGAGGCGGTGATGATTGTGACGAGGCTTTGTCTGCTTGACTTAATACTGTGCGTATGTCGGACGGAGTAGGGGTGGGGATTTTGTCTTTGTTTCAAACTTTCATGGTTGAAGGGGGGGGGNGGGGGGGGGGGGGGGGGGGGGGGGGGGGGGGGCTGGTTGTGCGTGTGAGCAGCGCGCGCGTAACTGTGAGCTGTGTACGTACGTGCAGCCTTGATATGTTCTCGGCGCCTGCGAAAGAGTAGGCCTGGTGTTGCTTCTTGACTCTCTCTCAATCATGCGGTAGCTATCATGGGAAGACGCGCTATGGCGCTGCGAAGTTGGTGCTCATTTTCCCCGCGTAGTGTAGGACGTTTCGTTCGGCGATAGAGTCGGTCACGAGCAAACCGCCGACGCCTGTTGTACGACCCACGCCTTCGATACGCTGGGCCGGTGTATGCCGCGGTGTCCCAGTTCAACGCGATTTAGTGCTTGCTATGGAGAAGGAAGACAGTTAGTCTCTGTCGTGTCGGGGAGGGGACCCTCAACGCCTTCATGGAGTTCCTTTGCTTGTTCGGGCTGTAACCTGTCTAAGACCACGAAACTCAGCTGTGAATACCAGTAACAATAGCTGCACTACCCTTGAACCGCGGTCTTCTTTGAGTCCCCCCCCCCCTTCCCATCGACCGATCTAGAAAGATCAAGAGTAAGAAACAGAGGAAAGTGTTCCGGTGGAAGGTAGAGCGTTTGGGAGACGATGGGACACGGGATGAATTCCAGAAGGGGCTGGCTGGTAGTGTAGAATCCTTCAGGAAACTGCTGAGAAGCGTCGAAGACGGACAGGTAGACGTACAG